TTGGTGGTTTCTCTTGCAGTGCAGAAGCTTTTTAATAAGATGAGATCCCAGTTGTTGATTCTTTGTGCTAGTTCCCATGCTACTGAGGTTTTGTTTATAAAGTCTTTTCCTATGCCAGTATCTTCAAGAGTTCTACCTAACTTATCTTCCAGCAAGTTTAGTGTTTCTGTTTTAATATATAGTAACAACCTTATAATTTGTCTCCTTGTATTTAATGCTCCTGATACATTTGTTTTCTGCAATCAGCAATACAAATTTTCACAAGAGAAAATCTGATTCTGTTACTTTCATCGTTGAGGTTTCAAATGAACACTTCTTGCCCTTCGGAAGAAGTTCAGACTCTAAAGTGTCCTGGAAAGACCTCCTTGGTTTGGTTAAGTTATCTAAAGTCTACTTAAAAACAAAAATAAAGGTTTAAAATGTGGATGTTCATACATAAGTAAATGTATGCTTCTCTGTGTATGTTTATTTGTGACCAAGGATCCTTGCTATCTGATAGTCTAAAAATGTGTAGTAAATATAAAATAAGTCAATTTAGTTTATTGAAATTCATATTCAAAACATTATACCTATTTGAACATTTTCTTAATTTACAATGATTTATAACAATAAAAGGTGTTTAAAAGACAATCTGTAATTTATTAGTGATAGTATTTTTATGATAAATCACTTCTGATGTTAATTTGCCATCATGTCTATTGTAAATATTCAGTGAGGAGTAATTTATTAAGACCTCAGATAGTGTTCAGACCAGAGAGAAGTGGAATTTGAGATACTAAGATATGTGTAATAAATCAGATCTGTAGACAAAGCATATGCCTGACAGAAAAATGTATCAATTTTTTTGGAGCTCTAAATTATAATCATAAATTGCTCTCATGTCCTTGTTACTAAATTTTCTTCTACGCAAAAATCGTAAGTTAATCCAACAGTCAAAACCATCAAATAGCCTCTTGGGTGCTAGAAATTCAAAGACAGAACAAGGAAGATTGCTCGCACCAATGGACTTTAGACTCAAGAAAGGAAAGACAGACAATAAGGATAAATTAATACATAAAATAGTTTAAATAATCATAGATATTATGAAGAAAGGAAGACAGTATTGTGATATATGACAGAATTACTCAGAGTGGGAAGCTACCTAAAACTAGTGGCCACAGAATGTTTCTCTTAAGAGATAACATCTGAACAAATACAAACTGATAAGAATAATCCGCTATGCCAAGATTCAGAGAGTTTCGGACAGAAGGAAGAATGAGTTCAGATGCCTCAAGGTAGGAATAATATCACTGTGGTTAAGAAGATAATGAAAGTTAATGGAAAAGTAAAAAATCTCTTAATGGAAATGAGAGAGTATAGCAGAGTATAGACAACACTTTGGAAAAACTTAAGGATTTTGATGTTATTTTATGGGACCTTTTTCTGAGAGGAGCTTTTCTTGATTTGATTATATTTAAAGAGCCCTCTTAGACAATGTATATAAACTAGACTGCAGGAGACCAAGATAGAAAGCAGAGCAAATGATTAGAATTGCCATAGGGCCTGAGAGGGGTGTGGAAATGCATAAACTTTAGCACAATTTAAATATGAGAACTCTGCCTGCTATACTGTTGGCATTTAATACATATTTGTAAAATACATTAACTAGCAACATAATGCTTATAAAGACTAGCAATGTATTAAATTCCTGGCTACATATTTTAGATATGAAACTGAAACAAAGGAAAATACTAGAAGTCTTTAAATTTGCAAGAAGTGCTAAAATGTCCATTTCTATTTACATGTTTTTCTCCTTATAAACAATATGAACAATTTTCAAGTAAATCCAAATTTAGAAATCTAGAACATTACTAATCCCCAAACATCTGACACTCATAATGTCAATTCTACAGTTTCTTTGTACAGTTATAATTGGACAGGGATAAATAGCTGAAGTTTTGCAATTGATAAGAAATACCCTTTTGTTGGAAAAATATGGAAAATAATGTGAATATGTGTGATGTTTGTAAAAAAGCATATAATATATCACATATAAATAAACCCAGGGCTTTCACATTGAGCTACACCTCCAGCCTTTTATTTTTATTTTTGAAACAAGACTGCCTTAAGTCACTAAGTTTGCACAGGTTTGACTTGAACGTGTGATCCACCTGCCTCAGTCCTCCAGAGTGCTGCGATTATAGCCATGAGACACCATTTCTGGTTAATGTCTTATATTTAAAATGTACTTTCTATTTTTAAATATTTAATTAACAAATACAGACTGAATACATTTAGTGTAAACAAAATGATGTACGTATGTAATGATCATATGTATTACATATGTAATGATCACCACAGTCAAATTAATATAAACATCACTAGCCATTGTGTACATTAAAAACATGCAGAACTTATTCATCTCAAAACTGAAAGTTTGTGTTTGATGTCTAGATAATAACCAACAAGTATGTGATAAGTTGCTGATTGACTTTTATGACTCATAAGGGAAGAAATTTCAGGTTTTAGTCATCCTTAATATTTCAAATCTACTTAGGGAAATGCTGACAATAGTGTGAATATCCATCCTACACTTACTGTTGGGAAGCCATATGGCATAGAAACTTACAGGTATTTAACTGAAGCAGGTCTTAAGGCCTGACTTACCTGAAATTTTGACTTGAGACACCACTCCATCACCCCCATCACTGTGCGCTCGGACCTCCACCACATACTGTCCATCCCTGGGGATTGGGACCTCTATGGAGTGTTTGTGAGTTGAATACAGCTTGCCCTCATGCTGGCCATCAGGTCTATAGAGTACCTGAGAAAGTCCAAAAATATTAATACTTAATAAAATCATAAAAACGAGCTCATACCCAAGTGCAAATATCAAAACAAAGCCTCCTTTGTTCATAAAAATAACACATTTAAAATTAGTGGGAAAATTCATGTTATTTTCAATTCACAGAAACCAGGGAGAGTTACCTAAGAGGATGTACCATAAGTAGGTGAATGTTATTTTTTGAGATGACCAAAATTAAATAAATAAAAGATATGTATGTTTTAAGAAAAAAATATAAAATGAAATCGAATATATTAAAGCAGTCTAAAATACTTCTCTCTCAGTTTTAAGTTTTTTTCACTGTATTCCTAAAATTAATATCCCATACAAAATGTCATAGCATGAGACATAGAATATATGGAAACAATCCTTTTCTCTTCTTGTTTTCAGTGTGCTAAGCAACATTATCACAAGCATTCCCAGACAAAAATGGATTCATTCTGTCTACACTTTTAAAGCTTTCATTTTCCTAATGTTCTATTCATTAAAGCAATTATCCTATTTCTCTCATTAAAAGAATACAACATTTTTCTAAAATCCACTAGCAATGTTTTCTCATGAGACTGTGTCATCTGATTCTGCTACCCAGGTAGAAGTAGAAAGCTGGACAAATTTTGCTGAAAGAGCAGAAACTTCAATGAAGTTTGTGTGAAGAACGACTTAGTAATCTTTTACTTACCTTATATCCTGTGACTGATGATTCATTTGATAGTGCAACAACATGATCCCAGCTGATTATGTAACGGGAACCAGACCGCACTGAGCTGATAATCCTTGGGGGCTGGCTAGGAGCTACGGGAAGTAGCAATACAAACAATGGTCACCACATCCAAAATTAGTTCTCCAAACTTCATTACATCAGGAGTTATAACACTGATGATGATGATAACAACAACACCTAATTTTGAGAAGTCTTTACTATATGCCAGGTACTAAGCTCAGCACTTTACATCTATGAGTTCATTTAGTATGCTTAGTGGTTTTGTGAGATAGGGAATATAGTTATCTTTTGTTTTCTTCCATCACACTCCTCTTAGGTTTCTCCATCAATCTTTTGAAAGTCTTTAGGGTACTTTATTGGGTACGCTATAGACTGCTATTTTCCCCAATCACCTCCATTTGCCAAATCTAATGTCATTTTTTCATTCTTTCCAAATGTAAGATCTCCAGAATATTCACAGAGTTGATCTTCTTTCTTTCTTGAAGCTGTTCTTCTCTTAAATTCATGATACCTGGATTTTCCTTCAACTTCATTGGTAGTTCCTTCTCACTAATCTTCCTGAACTGGCTCCATATCTTTAGCTAACCTTTCAAATGTTGTAATGGCTTAGAACTTTATTCTGAGTATGCTTCTCTCTTCTATCTGCGAAGCTTCTTTAAGCACTTGAAACTGCCTCACACCTTAATATAAAATTCTACCTCTAGTGCAAATCTCTCTCTTGATCTAAATATGTGCTCAACTTCCTATCTTTACTTAAATGTTTGAAAAACTTCTCCAATGTAATATAATCAAGATAAAACATTTTCTACATACCCCCAAATCAGCCTCTTGTGAGTCTTTCTCACTTTTTACAAATGGCATAACCAAACCCCCAAAGTGTCAAGCAAAATTCTGACAATCTTCCATTCCACTCATTGGCAGCACCAAACTGGCAGTAACTTTTCAACTCTACCTGCAGGATATTTTCTATTTCACTGTCTTCATTATCAGTTCATGCTCACTGCTATCAATTCTCTTTCTCAGATACTGAAATGGCCTCCTAATTGGCTCTTCCTTTTTCACTCTTAACTCATCACTGCCCATTTCCAACCAGAAGCCAGAATATTTAAAAAAAATAAATTAAATAACCCTCTCTGCCTTAAAATTATCTAGTTCTTTCTTATCACATATAGAAAGAATTCAAAATTCTTACTCTGGTTTCCAAGGCCCTCCATATTTTGGCTCTAGTACATTTTCCTATTCACCTTAGAACCCATGCCCTGGCTCCATCGGTTTTTCATAGCTAATATATTTCCAGTTCTCTCCACCTTGTTGCTTTGTACTCCTTAATTTCTCTGTTTGAAGCAATTTTCTCCCAGCTCATTTCATAACTGGAGAATCACTTATCACTTACCACTCAAATACTTGATTCCAGGGCATCTTCTCAAAAATCTTCCAGCCACCAATCAGAATTTGGCTTCAAATTCAGTTTTGCTTCAGATTTGGCTTCCCTGTCAATTGTATCTGTTTTTTTTTTTGGTACTGGGGATCAAACTCCAGACCTTGAGCTTGTGAGGCAGGTGGCGCCACTGAGCTAAATCCCCGGCCCTTGTATCTGTTTATTTTATTGTCCTATGGATATAACTACACTTACTTATTTATTAGCATTTCTGCTGGACTCTTTCCAAGTCTGGCTTAGTCTCTTATATGTGTCCTTACCATCCAGAACTGTACAGGACATACAGCATATTTTTGATGAATGTATAAATGAAAAGAATAGCAAAGGAATAAATGCATCTCTTACAAATGAGGAGACTGAGTTTTAAAGAGGTAAGGTAATTTGTCTGTTTCATATTTTTAGTAAGTGGTAGACTAGATCTCAATCCCATGTCTGTCACTAAAGTCTGGTTCTTACTGCTGTGCTCTATCATCTCATTAGCTGTCAATGTCATAGGTTTGCAAACTTAATGGCAGTCATGTCTAAAGATTCCTGCTAAAGTCCATAGAGTCCTATGATCAAATTCTCCTTTTTATGTATTCATTTTGAGATCAAGAAGAGAGATATCAAAGAGAAGCTCAAGAGATTAGAATGACCAGCAAATCTGAGCAGAATGCTACATTTAAATTATATTTACATTTTGCAGTGATGAAGGTTTATAAATCAAGCATGGGAAAATGAATAGAATTTTAATTTTCTTGTGTTGTCTATGGATTCTTATGGAAAATAAATTAATAAACATAAAATGAACACATTATTTGATGATACAAAATTTGAAGGGGAGTCTTTTAAAGGGAAGTTCTCTAATTTGATGGCTATAATGGAACATGAAATGTGTACAGACATTCTGCATATTTGTGCATTATCTACAATAACAATGTTTTAAAAAAAATCTTAGATGAGGGCTGGGGATTTAGCTTAGTGGTTCTGCCACCTGCCTCAAAAGCGCAAGGACCCAAGTTCAATCCCTGGTACCAAAAAAAGTCTCAGAAAAAAATCTTAGATGACTGTAAAAGATACCATTAAAACTACATGTTCAGACAACTCGATAGGAAAGTTCCCTCAGATGTAGCTGCATCGTGATTGAATCAAATGACAGTTTTTGACAAGTCTAAAAGCAAAATGTGATACTCACGTGCTTTCCTAGTGAAGGTCTCGATCACCTCACTTGGAGGTCCACACCCTGCACTGTTGCAGGCCCCCACTTCCACAAAATACTGGGTGTCAGGCAGAAGGTTTTCCAGTCTGGCCGAGTACTCCTGGCTGGTGACTTGAACTCTGTGTGCAGCTGCTTCCTTGTCATGGGCAGCCCAGTACCTAATCTGCAAGCACCAAAGATGAATAAACTTTTGCCATGATTCGGACTCTTTAGCTGAGAAATTCTTTTCCATCACTCTGTTACACTGGTGTTGCCTAAGCATTATATTCTCAAATGTTACAAAAAGGTATGTAACTGTCTATCAGTCTTACAATATGGCAAGGCACACAAGTCATATCTAATTAAAAACATCAGAAGCAAGCCCAGAAGAGACTTCCAGATTGGTGCACCACAGCTCCCAAGCAGGAAGAGGCTTCCGGGTAGGTGTGCCGCGGCTCTCAGCCTAGAGGAGGCTTTCAGGTAGGCAGGCCATGGCTCCCAGCCCAGAGGAGACATCCAGATAGGCCTGCCATGGCTCCCAGGCAGGAGGAGGCATCCAGGTAGGCATGCCTCGGCTTCCAGCACAGAGGAGGTGAGGTGTGCGGGCTCAAGGAAGACACACACACACACACAAACACACACACACACTCCATGTCAAAATGAGAACACAGGTAAACAAGCCACAGAACCAGACTTCTAGATCACCTATTGCAACCCCAAAGGGAAATGAGATGGAACACTCTGATACTCAACCACCTGGACTCCCTGAATTAGCAACGAAAGAGGATCTAGATAAAAAGGAAATCAGAAATAATTTCTCACGTAACAGCAAAGATTGTGCCCATAGTGCAAGACATGATTAATAAATCTAGAGAGGATACAGATAAAAAAATAGAGGAGCTGAGGAACATGATGGAATGCCAACATAGGAAACAAGGGGAATCCATAAAACAGATGAAACATTTCCAGGAGATTAAAAACTCCATTGAAAGTCTATGCAGTAGAATAAGCCAAGGTGAAGACAGAATTTCAGATACAGAAGATAAGATTGCAATTAGTGACCAGGAAAAGAAAAATTGCTTTAAAATTTTAAGGGACCATGAGAAATCAATCCAGCAGATGCTAGATGATGCAAAGAAAAATAACATAAGACTGATTGGAGTCAATGAAGAAACTGAAGAGAGTGCAGATGACATAAAAAACTGTTTACAGAAGTGATGGCAGAAAACTTCCCAAGCAGGGAAAAAGAATTTGACATACTGATGAGTGAGGCATATAGGACTTCAGCTAGCCTTGGCCAAAAAAAATCTACACATAGGCATAAAATTGTTAAGATTCCAGAAATCCAACAGAAGAACAAAATTCTACAAGTAGTTAGAGAAAAGAAACAAATTACATACAAAGGAAAGCCCATCAGAATCACAGCAGACTTCTCAATGCAAACCCTCAAGGCAAGAACAGCTTGGAGTGATGTGCTTCAAGCCCTAAAAGAAAACAACCTCCA